TATGTATGTATGTATGTATGTATGTGTGTATATATATGTATGTATGTATGTGTGTATATATATATGTATGTATGTATGTATGTGTGTATATATATATATATAATACATATACATAAACACATACATACATACATATACAGTAGTATTCATGGTTCTTCTTGAGATGTAATGAGCAGCACAAATATCAGTCAGCCACCAAGACATCGAGTGTATTTATAGTTTTTAATACCAAGAAATCTATCAGAAGAGCTGTGAAGATGGACGCCTCTGTGCGCCCTCTCGATAAAGGGGAACAGAATTTTGCACAAGACACCAGTTCTCTCTGCTCTACAGCTGCGCGCGTCAAAGAGTACAATACACATCAGCATTTTGACACCAAACATGGAGCTATGTATGCCAAAGTGAGCCTTCAACTCTATTATGTTAAATTTGCAGCAATATATTTGTGATAGCAGGTTTATGTGTTTATGCAGGCAAGTGTTTTCTATAATACCAGCTCTCTTAAGTTGGATGTATGACCAGGCTGTGTGCAGCCATTTGTTTTTTGTAAAATGCTACACCTGTCACACATGTTCTTAGCAGGTTAAACAATTGTTGGTTGGACCATTATTCTGCCACTCATAACTGTGACAAAAAAAGTTTTGAACAAAGTTAATATCATAACTTGTTATTTTTCCTTTTTCACTTGGAAAGTTGGATCACTGATTTATGGAGTAATGTAGGTTTCATAACTTGACAAATTAAAAGGTTTTATGTTATAACAGCAGCAGACATATTTTTCTACATCTATGCAAATATATATGTAATATTTGTAATATGAATAAGTAAAAAATTCAGAGTTACTTAACATGAATGGGTAGTTGCATTGACTTTACATTACATTTAGTTCAATGTATGCTGTCTTACAGTTACATCTGGCCCTTTGAGGGCAACCAGTATGCTGATGTGGCCCTCAGTGGAAATTAGTTTGACACTCCTGGATGCAATGTGCAGTGAACTTATTGCACATAAATAAAAGTAGCTGATGCTGGGTCAGGACATAGTGATGTTTTTCTTACCTCGATTAGGTGGGTACTCAAACTGACGTCCATGAATGCAGCATCACGCAAGAACAGGAAAACTGCACACACAAAAAACGTGTGGTCCACAATACAACTCACCAAAACACTTTTCAATAAGAGTGGGTTTTACAGCAGGAAATACCCCTTTAACTTGGTAAAAAAAAAATTAAAAAAGGACCACTTTAAAATATTACAAAAACGCTAGACTCTGGAGGCAGCCACGCTGTTTCAAAGCAGCGGTGTTCTGGTTGTTGCCCATATTTCACCAGTAGATGGCAGGGTTCGCTCTTAGTTTGAAGACAGATATTTACCGCCAGGATCACAGAAAAAGCCATTTTCTCTTTGTTGAGTTGGCTTTTGAACGCAGTCTTCTTCCACTTTTCATGAGAAAGCCTGTAAAATACATATTCAGGGTATGCGACGCCATCTTTGTTAAACAGTCCACAATTCTATCGGCAGGTCTCGGATCAGCTCGCAACAATAGCTAAACCCGCCCCTTATTTGATTGACAGTTCTTAGCACCAATAGAAGGTCGACTTTGCGCCTGTAAGTTTTTGTTAAGCGCGAGCTCGGTCCACCGAGGTATTCTATGCACCTTACTCTTGGCGCACACAGCGCTGGAAATCATGCTCGCAAACTGCGAAAACATCGGGAATGTAGTGAAGTCTTGTTTCGCCGGATTTTGGATCACTTTTAGCGTCTGTTCTGTTGGTGTTCGCTGTCAAGAGGGTAAGAAAAGACCGTTGTTTTTTTCTCCTTGACGCTTTTAAGATAAATATTGTGACGTGGTGGTTTCAAACTTCTCGTTAGCTTAGTGCTCACTAGCAGCTCAAACAGATTTACAGCATATTTGATTAATAATCAAAGTACATGTCTGTAAGTAGTGACGCAATCAAAGTAAATAGTTGAGATGGAGAGAACATTATGGGTTTTGTGTTCTTTTTTTTGGTAACATGTGTGCATTAATTTTTACCTCATAATCCCATGAAGTACTAGCATGAATTTCACAACTGGGGTTGACATGAATTTTATGTCTGTGTATGAGCCACAAGAAACTTGAATTACTGTAATATATAAGTTTATTTCACATTAGAACTATTTGCATTAAGTATAAAGGTTAGTGCCATGGTGGTAACTATATTCCAGTCCATATTAACTGTTTATTCCATCTATGTGACATGGTGTTGTCCCTCTCCAAACAGTAGTCATGTCCTTAATGAGTCACACTGACCAGTTAACACAGAACACAAATAATTACCCTGGCCTGCAGAGCATGACTCCAACAATCAGCCAAACCACAAGTATTTCATGTTTTAGTCCTCTGAAGCTTTGGTTTCCAGTTTCCACATATCGGAAGATGATTAAGTCCAGGATAAATGAATGATTCTGAATCTTTTTTTTTTTTAACTTTGCAACAGCTCTGCTTTGGTGGGAGCCTGTTTATCTATATTCAGCTTGACACACTGGTAGAGGTGTACTGTGTGTAGTGACAGATGTGCAGTGGACCTGCTAAGACCTGCCAGCCACATCTGGGGGGGAAGAGGGCGAGGTGGGGACAACATTGTTGACTGCGGTGCTATTTGACTTCTAATTTTTACTCTTTAGTTTTCCAGAACTGGTCAGAACGCACAGAAATTCTTGTGAAATTAAATACTAAAACAAAGCATTCATTGAAAGACCACATTTTGCCCAATTATCACCCACCAGCAAAAGACCTAGAGTTCAGCGACAAGGAGGTGATTACCAGTGGAAGGTGACAGGTCCACGCTCTGTTGCCCATCACAGCTGAATGTTGCTGTGGCATTTCCACAGAATCCTTTAGGGACTCTGGGAAGGGCAGTCAAAGCTTTCTTGTAAGTGAAGCTGTTGGGAGGTAAGGAAACGACCAGTGTGATTCAGGATGTGTGAGCAGAAGGTTATCTGAAGGTTTCCCCCTCAACATAAACACACTGGAGCCTTATATGGAAAACATGGACGTGGGGGTAATGTTTAGACTTCGACTGACCCCGGTGTCTTTTTCAACTTTTGACCATTCTTGGACGTGTCGCCTCCGGAGATGTTTGGAGGAGTGAGGATTTGCTCATACCACCTCCGCGGTATTAGTCTCTGCGTAACCACTCCAGGAATTGACTCATTTATTTTCTGTGACCAACATGGACTACACCATCTAAATATTTGTGTTTTCCTGCTCCAGTTTAAATGTTAGTCTCTGCTCTCACAGGCCAGAGGATCTAGTTGTTTTGCAAAACTATTTCACAATTCCCATGCCTGTCCACTTTGAAATACACCTCTAATTAAATTAAAATTAGGGAAATGTTTTTTTCTACAGTGCAATCCATGTGTGAGTTTTACAAAAAGAGAACTTTTTCCTCACTGGTAAGTTGTGTCACCGCTCGGTTATGATTATAAACGTGCCCAGGTTTGCAGGGCATGTTCAGATGAGACTTGTTAGGCATTTGTTCTGAAACAATGCCTTAACAAAGCTTTTAATATTCTGCGTGTAATAAATTTTGTAAAGTGGTGACAAAACTGTCTGCGGTGAAAATATTTACACTGCTTCAAGCCACTTCCGTAATTCCACACTTCTTTCAGCTGTTTTTAAAATATTGTTTACTCTCAGGCCCTGTTTACATGAAAATGATTTCTGGTGAAAATGGAAGAGTTTTGTCGCATTTGCTGTTCATTTACACAAAAATAGCAAACGTTTTCTCTGACAACAGCACAATTTGAGAACGGGTTCCAAAGTGCAATGGTTCAAAAACGTCCCAGTGTCGTGTAGACAGAAAAAATAGATCTTTTTCTGTCAAGGAATCTCTGGCTCCTTCGCAGTATGACGCAAAACATAACAGCTTCCTACAATCCACAGAAGAAGAAACTATTGACAATGGTGGATACCAGAGTATTGTTGGGGCTTTTGACTCTTATAAATCTAACTGCGGCTCTCCAACACAGTGCTCATTTTACCAGTCAACGTTCTCTTGAAATTTGGTGGTTCTATAATTCAAAGTCACCCTAAGCAACAGTTGACCCTCATCATCTGTCCATAAAAATATTTGATTCTCTGCCATCTCGACCAGTGTTGCCAGATTTTGCGATAGAAACAAGCAACCTATGAAATCTCAAGCCCAACTGGCAACCCACCACATTGTGTAAAACAGAGGCCGTGTTTAAACAGTATAAACATACATGTATTATGGGATTACACATAAACAACAGCAAAATTATGCTAAACACTTTGAATAACACACTTTTAAGCTCTGATTAAAAAAAAATACATTTCACATATGTAATTTTTTCTACATATTTTTTCAAATAAATCATCATGACATCTGCGTGTGAGTGGAGCCCCCTAGTGGTCGGCCACAGTATGACTTTGTTTGGGTGTGCGCCTTTCGCTTTGCCAACTTGGGCTGGAGCAATAAACAGGAAACAGGTGTGGAAGGGACAAACTACAACCACTCATCTTTTGCTTTATTGTGCGGAGCTGAGAGATAATCAACTAGTTTCACTCAGAAAGAAAGTCAAGTCCAAATAAGTAACTTCACGTTCAAAAACGAGCCCAAAAAAACGCGACTCACAAGATTTGCAAGCGACTTTAGAAATAAACAAGCCCAAAGTAGCTTATAATAAGCAGACTTGGCAACTATGGTTGTAGCGGCTTTCAGGTAGGATGTTTTGTTTTTTTCGCATGCTGCGCACTTAAAGAGTTTCAAAGAGCATAGCACCAACTAGTGGCGTGGTGTGGGAATTACACATTTTCCACGTCTACCATTTCTGTGTAAACAGAGATTGTAATTGGAACATTTTCATGTAAATGTGTTAAAAGATATGGGAAAAAAGTCAGTTTTTATTGGATTGTTGTCGTGTAAACAGGGCCTCAGTTGCAACATACCGGTACTTTAATACCTACAGGCAGTGTAGAAAATAAATATTTTATTCCAGACAGCACCTGAGCAACACGCTTCACAGCTAAAATATGGTAAGCACACGCATTCTAGCTTTTTAAAATTTTTTATTCTTGAGTAGTTTCTCATTCGTTGCAAGGCATTTTAAACTTTAAAACCCAATTAGACAAGAAATAAGAAGCTGCCAAGGTAGAAAAAAAAGGGTAAATAAGCCGATTGAAGGAATGCATTTTTCTCTCTGCTTTTTATCTCACTTTAAAAAAAAAAATTAAGAAATGGCCGAGTTGTAGCCGTTTTTGGTCAGACATTGAAAACAAGGTTATGTGCGATTGCGTACGATATACCGAGATCTTGCGCAAATCATTAGCCTTCAGTATATGTGGAGGAAGACTCTCAGCTACTACCACATCAAATTTGAGCCTGATATTGGTAAAAGTGAAAGTTGTGAAAGATTTAATTACGATCCATGCAGCGGTCAGTGAAACATTTTGCTAGCAGGTGATAAAGAGTTATCCATAAAATGTGACTTGGATATTTATTTCATGCCCCATCTTCTGGCTTCTTGTCCTGTGTTAGGTAATGGCTGTGGACACACACTGCTGGGAGCACAATCTGGCACTTTAGCCTCCCAGAACTACCCAGGCACCTACCCAAGTAACTCCTGGTGCAAATGGAGGCTTCGCGTGCCGGAGAGGCGGACGCTGCGGCTGCTGTTTGGAGACTTTGACATAGAGAACAGCCCAGGCTGCAGCAACGGTTCTGTTGTGATCAGCGACCAGGCCGGCAAACCCATCATAGGTAAGTTTTCTGGTTTTCTGTCTTGCTCTCTCTCTTGTGTTTCTGTCAGTTTTCACTAAAATACTTGCTGATGGACTTCTTCGTGCTCCATGTCATTATCTATGATTGTACACACAGAGGAGATGCCATTCAGCTGACACACTGACTGAAGAGACAAACCACTTCTTGCTACAGGCTCAATGTACGTTTTGCAACCAGCTGTCAGATCATGTCCCGAGGCTATAGATATTTGTCAGCACACCAAAATGAAGATTGGGAGATTTAGGAGCTAGATATATTTTGTTAGGCTTCTCTTGAGTTTATTGTTGGAATCCATAAAGCCTGATGGTTTTATTGTTTCCAAAGGTTTAGCTGTTTTTACAGGTTGAATTCTCCTGTGGTGACTCTGCTCGTCACCTTATTGTGAAGCAGGCATGATGTAGGTCATCTTTTAATATTGTTTAATTCTTTGAGCCATTTAGTCTGTGTAGGTTCATTGTACAGCATGCATCCAGGGATCCCACACAGTTGTAAAACATATTGTGATGTAAAGTAGTGATTTTCTCCTCTTAATTATTTTTTGTGTAAAATCTTTAATGTACATTTTCACAGATAAGGTTCCCTCACAGTACCCGTTTCAAAACTCTAGACCAAATTTGAAGAATTTTAGTCAATTTTCTCCAAATCTTTGAAAGAAATGAGCTAGGGCTCTTTGAAATCAAAACTGAATAAAATTATACACATAAGTGTCTTGTGGAATTGCATCTCTCAACTCTATTTATTTAAATAATTGTGAGCAAGTGCATCTCTTGGCTTCTCTTGAGTTGGTTGGTTTGTCCTCGCATAATGTAAAGCTTGGTCCCTGACAAGCATCAAAGTTGTCTCGCTGATGTGGGTGATGAAAATTGTGTATTTTTCTACTCTCATGCCCTGTTGAGACCACATCTTATGCTTTGCCCCCTGACAGAACTGGTTTATCACAGGGTATGTGCCTAGTATTGATTAGACATCAGATCTCGCTGGCATGATTGTGAGGTGGTCTTTTTGCAGCACACGCAAGAATCAAAATAAACGGTTTGTCAGTGAATGATTATTTTCCGTTGGTTGTAGAGGCGCTGGAAGAAGAAGATTTGGTCTTTCTTTTGTTACAGAGAAACGCCATTTTGTAAATTTATCACAAAGAGACTGCTACTGTTTCCAACAAACGGCGCAGGAATGTGTCCAAAATGCTACCCAGCTGAGACGCACTCCGTCCTCATCAGCGCTGCCATGGAGAGCTGCCAGTGTCGCCACACTGTGCCCTGCGTGCACAGAAACTGTCCAAACTCATTCCATGATTTCTTTGAATTTCTTTTAGTTTTACTTGACAGTCTTTCATCATTTTTGCTGTGAATGTTGTATTGAAGGTTGTATTTTCCAATAGCCTCAGCCAGCAGCTCCTCAGCAGATGCTGGTCTCAGAGAGCAGCATGCTACGTCCACTTTACATGAACAAACATGCCCACAAAGCTCTGACCAGATCCTAACGCTCAATAAGCGAACTGTAGGTGTGTGAGAGTTTTGTTCATCTCCATGACTCTTAAAAACCATTCCTAGAAAATGTAGATGGGAGAAAAGTATCACCACTTTGCCAAAGCTTAAGAAGCTGTCAGCCTGAGTAATTTGTTCCAAACAACTCAAAATCCCCAGTTTGCAGCACTGGTAAGAAAGAGGTGTTGAACTGGGTCAAATTTCTACATCACATTCTTTATGGTACAATTTAATCCAAGGCTTTGCCGTTGCATCCATGTCCACAGCAGTAATGGTGTCTTTGTGTGTTTGTTGTCAGGTCCTGTGTGCGGGAAGCTCGACGCAACACTGACAAATGTGATATTTAGACACAACGAAGTGACTGTAACATTCTCGTCAGGTCCACACCGCTCAGGACGAGGCTTTCTACTCTCATACGCAACAGACGAGTACCCAGGTATGTTTGTATTCTCTCTCTTGGTTTGGTTCGGCTGGGTTAATTATTTGTCACTGTTTAAATATGATTATGATTAAAGCCTTGTGTAAGATTTTTATTTTCTAGGCCTTTTTTTGTCTTACTGTTCCTGGGAAAGCAAAGCTTCACCAGTGCTTGAGTAATAACCACATGTATGCTTATTTACATGTTGACACTGGTGTTATTTTAACACTAGCTTTTCCTCTAATTATATCCTTGTGCATGTTCATGAGTGTGCTGATGTGTATCTGTGAGTCACTGCTTATTGGCATTCGGTCCCCTTCGCTGCCTTGGCTGTGCCATGTTTGCTCAGAAAACACGAGAAAGACCTTCTCAGGCTGACTGGAGCACTTAGAGACTTGATGTCCTCCAGACTTTATCAGCCTGTTAGCAGATGTGATCACAAAACCTTCTCTTGTGTCTTACTGTCTCAACCCAAAGGCTGCTGATTTATTATTTGGCATTCAGTGTCACAATCGTCATCATTTATAGGTTTTAACAAAACATTACAGGAAAAGTGTCATATAGCTATGAAGTTTCCTCAAGGAGTCAACATTTCTTGTTTGTTAAAGTGGTCTTTATCGTAATTCTTTAGATTTTAAAAGTTCTTTAGTGGGGCTTTGAAAATTGTCGGGTACTGAATTGAAAAGTTATTGAAGCTCCCAGAGGATTTTGTTTGCTTAAGTCACTTAACTTTGATTTATGAATCACTCAGGCCTACAAAGGTTCTTGAGCTCAAGGGGTGATGCAGTGTCTACACAGAACAGGGGACTCAGCAAAAAGTTGGCTCTTAATGCACTTGGATATCAGCAGCTGTCACAAAAGTACTGTTTCAATTTCTTTAGCTCAGTCTATTAGAAAATATCACAGTTTGACACATAAAATGGTATTTTAGTGTTTTTTTTAAAGAGTCAGTGGCTGAAAATTTGGCATACCATTAGTCAGTGGTTCCCAAAGTTGAAACACCAAGTGGGGCATTTTGAGAAGATCTATAAATATCAAATCAACTTTAAAAATCAAAGTTCGATCCACCGACTGTGGAGCGGTGGCTGTGCATTGTGGAAGAGATATTTGCAATGGAAAAACTCACTCATAAATTAAGACTGCAGGAGGTGCAGTTTAATGAAAAATGGGGAAAATGGACTTATTATAGAAAGAATACACCGCCTTCACAACTAGACAATGAGAACTCTGGAAAATTAGCCATTGCTTAAGAATGTATGCATATTATACTTCTACACTGCAACTGTTCCAAGAAAATTTAAATATAAAAAAAATGAAAGAAAAAAATCTGGTTCATGCTCAATAATCCAGGTTTTAAAAAATCCAACAAGTCAGGTCCTCTGGATGGTTTCTTTTTTTTTCTTCTTTTTTTTTTAGATGTTTCGTCCTCCATCTAAAGAACTTCATCAGTCCAAGGAGCCACAACAAACTTAGTCCACAAGCAGCACACTCGCATAGTGGACCAACCAGTTTGCTGGTGATAAGATGGTTTCTGGGGCCCGCCCTCTTCCCCATCGACTCCTTTGAGGCAGCCATAGCTAAAGTGGTTCAACACATCAAAGTTAATGTTCAGTAATCCAGTAAAATAACTATGTGAGTGTGCTTCTTGTGGGACTGAGTTTGTTGTGGCTCCTCGGACTGATGAAGTCCTTTGGATGAAGGATGAAACGTCTCAGCAAAAATAAAAAACAAACTGTCCAGATGACCTGACTGAACTTTGTTGAACTTTAAAAATGAGTGCCAACAGCATTTTTATTCTCAACTGTTTCAGAGAGACCAAATTATTAACCATGTTATTAAAAAACAATAGTTGGCACGGCTCGTTGTTAAGAATAAAAGTGACTTTTTAGCAACGTCTACCAGCGATGGTTGGAGTCACACATCTCTGTGACCAAGTGTTGGAAGTTGGAGAGTTTGGAAACCACTGCAGCTGTTGATCAGCTAAAGAATAGTTTATTTCTCCGGTCCTGGATTTTGTTTACTAAAGCCATGACTTTTAGATGCCGTTCATCTGCACCTCACAATATTTCTTGGTACCCGTTGTCCAGGGTTCTCATTTTTAAGCACATGCTTTATTTACTACATGCTGCTTGGTCAAGTACAAGAACTGGACAGAAAATGAGCAAAAAGATACACAAAAAAATAAAAATACAACTCTGAAAGATCTTTAAAGAGCCTGGAGAACTGTTGATCAAGACCATTTAAAAATGCTACAAGAACGTCTGGCTCTTTTCAAACTGTATATAAAGGGAACTTTTGCTGCGTGTTAAATCACAAAATGATGCTAAAGTTTAATGTTGTCTTGTGTATGATTTTTGATGACTATGTAGACGAGTTTCTCTGAGGTCTAGTGTATGATGACAGATTAGCTCATCCTTTTCTCTGAAGTGCAGTTTGTGTCATAGTTTCCTGTTTTTCACTTGGTTGTTTACTAAATCTGGCTGTGTCTGGAGCTAAAGCCTTGTGCAGACACACAAACCACTGTCTGTTCACTGTCATCACACGAGAACTATTTGCCGGACCCGTGAATTGTAGCTAAGGGACAGCAACAAAGGATTCAGTCACATTAACAGAGACGTATGCCCATCCCCTAATATAGCAGCGCTGGAGCATGCCAGACTATCTGTGTTGTATTAAGAGTCTCATGCTGCTTAAGGTCTCGTACGGTATTAAAAAAATAAATTTAAAAAAGCTTCAGAATAATTCTGGCATCTGCCTGTTTTTCAGATTTAATTACTTGTCTACAAAGGGGATCTCATTTTAGTGCACAAAATTTAACGTAAGTATTTAATGTCTAATTCTGACATGGTCAGTGGCGCTGCCTGCGTTTCATTTTATTCTGCTGCTTTCAGCGTTTACTGCCCTGCTGGGTGTAAAAATGCCACAGGAGACGTTTGGGGGAACTCTGAACAAGGTTACAGAGATGTAAGCACTAAGGGTTTTCATTCACCCAAACTGCTCAGTTTTTATTATTAATGTTGTTACTGGATAAATGTTTGAACGTCCTCTCTTCTGTGCCTCAGACCTCAGTCCTGTGCAAGTCTGCCGTCCATGCCGGAGCCGCATCTGATGGCACCGGAGGTCGCGTCACCGTGACCCGAGGGAGAAGTCTTACGCTCTACGAATCCACCTTCGCCAACGGGATCCTCTCCAAAATGTTTGTTGGTTTTTTGTTGTGTTTTACATGTGAGATCAGAGCGAAGTGCGTCAGTCAGTTTGACCTCTCATTGGTCCTGTTCCCCCTGACAGGGGGTCATTATCTGAGAAGAAGCTGCTTTTCAGCCGAGGTACGAAACGGCATGTATGACTACACTGAAAGACTTTCCCAACAATAAACAGTTTTTGCACATTTTAGCCAGTTTGCCTCAAGCTGAATGTCTTTTCTTGCCTTCTTGCATGTGCTCCTTAGAGTTATCCTCTCAGGAGGCGAGTGGTGTGTGTATATGTAGAACACACAGAAACAAAAGGGTTTGCCTTCATTTCTTGATTTATTTTTTGTTTTGTGTGTGTGTGTGTGTGTCCGTCTTGTTCCTGAACAGAATGTAACAACGTCCTGGCTGTCTCTGCTCTGAATGCCTCATCTTGGTGGGATAAAAACAGTCGAGAGCACACAATGTTCTCGTCCTCCAGAAACGTGGAGTCCAGCCGTGACTTCCTGCTCTGGACAGCAGACAGTAATGATCCCAACCCATGGCTGGAGATGGAACTGGCTGATAGGAGCACCGTCACAGGTTAAAAAAAGAGAAATGTGCATTTTTTTTGCTTACTCACATTTAAACGTCTAGCTTTTTGTGTTTGAGTGCACCCCCCCCCCCCCCACACACACACACACACACACTCACTGCTCATGCCAGAATTTTAAACGATCTGTGGAGGAAAAAGGACATAATTATAGCCGTTTTGGTCAAATCCTGTAATTCACATTACTGTATGTGTGATTTGTTGAGGGTGACTCTCAGCTGCTTCCACACCACTGTTTAGCTCAATGGCTGACAAATTGGCTGAGTTATAGACATTTTGTGTTTGCTATGGTTGCCTAGCTGTGGCGGCCATCATGACTTGGGTTGACGCCCAGATTTAATCAGTGTACTGCCCACTGGTGTATGAAATATTTTGCTAACAGACACACACTTGACTGCAATAGGTAATGGCAAAGTTTTGAAGCCCAGAGTTTGTGTTGCACTTTACTCTCAGCTACTACCACACTAAAAATGTAGTTCTATATCTGTAAATTTGACTTGAGTTCTAATTAGGGCTGGGCGATATGGACCAAAATTAATCTCTCGATATATTAAGAAAAATGGCGATATACGATATATATCTCTATATTTTTTTCTTTCCATAAAGTAATTATAAAAATATATTTCTGAGTCCAAGCTTTGTCCCAGTTGTCACACAGTCACATTTATTAACAACAGCTGTAACTCTACAAAAATAAATGTCTAAAAAATAATCTATTTACATATATTAAAGTTTGTTTTTTTTAGACATTTATTTACATATATTAAATAATCCTCTTCAGCTGCACTTCCTTCACGTTAGAAAGCGTGTGTGAAGCAGCAGTGAGGGGCTGCTGGTATTCAGCGAGGGAGGAGGAGGCTGCGTGAAGTTGGACGGGCAGAAAAAGAACCACTGTACACAGATTTTCAAGTCCTACAGTTAGAGGAGGTAGCATCATATTAATAAAGTGTTGTCTAATCATATCGCTAAAGACACGGTCCTTAGCGGCTAGATGGCTAGAGCGTTAGTCGTGTTGTTAGCATCTAAAGACCGTGTCTTTAACGGTATTATTAGCCACTGCTTTAATGTCGCACCACCTCACTGTTCATCTCATAAGGCACAGCACGACTAAATGAGTTCTGACCCGTGGTTTGTTTCAAGGAAGGAGGCTGAGGTCTGTCAGACCTGCAGCTTCACGCACGCTTCATACTCCACTTATAGCGCTGTTTTAAATGGTGAAAAAGATTTGTCATGCTGACCTTTTATCGGGACTTGTTTTTGGCATTGTCTGCAGAAAACACTTTCCTGCTGCTCATCTGACAATTTCAATCCAGACCATCTCTGAAAGAACAGCCATTGTTTATCTTTTTGCTCAGCAGCAGCTGCTCTTCATAGATCTCCCGTGTTTACTTGTTTTAAATGTCTCCTGTCCACCTCCTGGAGAAGCAGGAAGCTGGGGGAGCACGGCTGAGGGGCTGGGTTTGTATTCAAGGAGGGGGCGGCGTGGGAGAAAGAGACAGCAGGAGGATTTTCAAGTGTAATATTGTTTATATAGAAATAGTCTCATCTTATATCGCAAAAAAAATTATATGGATATTTTTTAAATATCGAGATATCGTCCAGTTCTAGTTCTAATCATCTAGTTCTTTAGTTGTGGCCGTCTTGAATGAGGTTGATTCTGAAAGTGAATTAGTTGTAGCTGTACAACCAACAGTTACTGTGTGCACGTTTCATTAAAGTCTCTGCAGTGGGTCATGACATATTGAGCTACAGAGCATTATGGTCTTCAGCAGCGGGTGATCATTAAGCAAGCCTCAGCTCTTGCTGCTCTGTGGTCGGCTGTTTTATATTTCACAAGCTCCGAGAGTGTCGGGTTCTGTTGTTTCTATAGCGGTTTTAGAAATTCATTCCATCTTTTAACGTCTAGGGGAAAAACCGTTTGCCTTTCTTTTTCAGGATTAATAACGACAGGATCGGTTGATTGCTACATCGAATCCTACGCTCTTTATTTTAGCAAGGACAGGAAAACCTGGAGGCCTTACAAAGATGCTCTGAGCAGAGAGAGAAAGGTTGGTTGTTTTGTTGTAGAGTCCCACAAAATGACACGTGTCAGTTTTAGTTAACACAACAGGTTCTGCAGAGTTCTTAGAAATGAAAAAAGTTTTAATGGATTTAATATCTTTATGGCTGCTAGGTGTTTCAGGCGTACACAGATGGGCACCTCAAGGTGCTCAACAGCCTTTTTTCTCTTGTGGTTGCTCGATTTGTTCGGCTTCAGCCGCTGAGCTGGTCCAGAAGAGCCTCAGCTCGGGTACAAGTTCTGGGTTGTCCTGCTGCCAAGGCCACGCCGAGGTCCCGGCCTTCTGGACGTGAGCATATCTGGTTTACTCAGAGTAAATGTCACTGGTTTCCACAGTCTGATCATTTCCAGGTGTCTTTCTTTGACAGAAGCTCCGTCCATAACTATCAACATGGATACCCAGCAGCCAAGCCCCTCTCCCACCCCCACACTGTTAATGGAAACAACGTTGGGTATGTGCTTATTTCACTGTCTTACTGGCGTGTTTTTATTTTTATTTTATTTTTTTTTTATTTATTAGTAACACAAGTTTTTAAAATGAATCAAACTCCTGTAATGCAGTCGTTGATTCAGTCACTTTTACTCCTGCAGGCGCCGGCCAGCCAGTGATCGTGGCAGTAGGAGTGGTCCTGGGGCTCATAATGTGTGGAAGTTGTCTGTTGGCTGGAGTCTGGTGGAAACGAAGGTACAGCGCATCAGTATTATTTTTAAAAACTATTCATTTTTCAGTTTTGTCATTAAATTTGCACCACTCCACACACAAAAAAAAAAGCTATTCAAAACCAACCACTACAGATTCATTGCCAATTTTAAGTCCTGTCCTTTGTATTAACAAATCGTATTTTTTCTGTGCACGTTTTCCTTGTAATCACACCAAAACACTGTTATACTTTGTAAAAGTATAACAAAACACTTTGTTTCTTTTTACACAGGAAAAAAGTCTCACAGATGAAGAACGCTCTACCCACAGGTCACTACAGCGCTCACTCGGACTCTTGAAATGAAATGTTCAAAGTTCTTTATAATAACCAGCTCGTGTGTTTCATCTCTAACAGGCTGTCAGAGTTTTAAGGCAAAGAGTTTCCCCTGTCCACAGTCGGAGCTCATTTCATACCCGCTGGAGAGGAATGTCCACGATGCTCTGCCTGCTCCACCTCTTAATGGTGAGATTTGATGCATGTTTGTTTCTTTTCCTTTTTATTAGCCCTTCTCGTTTTTGTCTCCTCCATCTTCACCGCTCTGTTTGTGGCTTCAGTGGTCAGTCTGAGCAGCTCAGGCCAGGCCTGACAGTCGAGCACATCTCTGCAGGGCTGTCCGTTCTTCCTCCTGGCTCAGCCCGTCACCCAGTCACTGTATGAACATTCCTTTCTTCGGTCCGCAGAGCCTCTCTGAAAGAGACCCTTTAATTGGAGCTCGATGAAGCAGCCTGCTGTCTCTGTCCCTCCACCAGCCCCTTTGTCTCCTCAACCCCTCCCCCAGCAAGGCTGCAAATCACATAAATGTAGCAATGATCAAGACGAGGCTCCTTACAATCTTATACGTTATAAATGATCTAAATGTGTTGGAAGATCTTGGAGGTGCAAAGTATGACTGCTTGAAAACAGCACCAAGATTAAAACAAGTTGTACTCTAGCGAAATAAATCGGCATCCATAACGACACAAACACACTTTTGTGTTTTCCTTTTAGTGTTTTAAATGTTGTTGTTGTTCCTCAGACTATGCTGCACCTGCACTTACTGCTGTTGGAAAGAAAGTGGGCTCGACGTTTAGACCTCCTTCAGATGAGGGTTACACCACGCCCTTCACCAGCATCCATTACGACACGCCCGGCAGCCTGCCCGAGTACGCCGAGCCGCTTCCTCCCGAGCCGGAGTACGCCACTCCGTTCAGCGAGCTGCCCTCCGAGTCGAAATTATCCACTTTAGCAGGGATCGTTCACAGCGATGCACACAGACCTCGCGTTGTGGGAGCTTCAAACGGGACCATGGTGACACCAGGCCAGAGTCTGTACGACTGCCCCGCCCACAGGACACTGTTCAATGGCTACTGCACTCCTGCTCTACATGCCGGTGGTCCTCGACCCGTCAGCGAAGTCTACGCAGAACCCAGGTCAAGTGACTGTTTACTACAAAGACACACATATGAAGAACCTTTGTGAGCGCAGGAACCTCATATTAGGAAGAATGGGTTCCTAAGATCCTAAATATGTTGGGATCAGAAAACTCTGAGCTGGACGGTGCTCTCCACAGAGTCTTACTGACATGCCAGGAAGTAACTCGGAGGTCAAGAGTGTTTATCACTCACAACACAATAAGATCTCAGAGCGACTTGGACCTGGATATTTACTCAGGAAGTGTCCTGGGGATGCACAAAGAAAACACGGACCAGTGTGTCTGAAACATTTTACTGATGAAAAGTTTAACCACAAGTTGCACTTTCTGAAAACGTGTACAGAACCGTTTACTTAAAAGACTTGATACAAAACGGCTGACTGAATGTTACTTGTTCACAGAAAACTGCATAATATTCACAATATAGTTGAAATACTTACAGAAACACTAACCAAGTGGCTAGTTGTATGTAACCACTAGGTGGGGCTGTTGAGCTTCAGACCTCTGGTTCTTATTGTAAAATATAAAGAAAAATATATTTATATTTAAAAAAAACTGCTTACAAAGACACAGAGGATGATCGTGTGAGAAGGTTGGACATTATTTTCTTTGAGAAATTGTCACATTATGTGGTTTGTTAGGCTTGTGTCTCTGCTAACATCCCCAAAATTAGAAACGTCTCAAACTTTAATTCAAATAACAAATGCACATTTTTAAATATATATATATATATGCCATTCAAAGATGTTTATCATTTGATTGTCATGTGGGGAATTTTAGGTTTTAAATGAGAAATTACTGAAATAAAATGAACCTGAAGGACCCCCCCTTTGTTCCCACTGATCTTTTTGCATTGTGGATATCCAAACATATATTTTGAAAGGTTGTATTTTCATAATAAAAGGCATTTTCTGAAATGATAAGTGAATGTGTCTGATTTTATCCTCTGTCTGGAGGCTTTTACTTTTATTTCCATGATGAAACAAGAAGCACAACTAAATGAATGTACTGTATTTACAAGCCTACAACTGGGTTTAATGCGACTGGGAGGACTGGGAGTTATTTTTAGACAGACTTGTGCTAGTCGTACCATAAACTTGCATATCTGTTCCTTCTTCGTTGTTGGGGCAACACATTAAGTTTCTGCAGAAAAACTTTACAGAATCTCTTAGCTTTAAGCTAACATGAAACTAATGGAAACCCCAGGTTTTAAACTGTAGTAAACAGTTGTAGTGCAATATCCAAACCATTTTCACGAGTAATGAAGTAAACATTACGCAAATAACTTCCAAACCTTCAAAGGTAATTCCTTTGGTACCCAGCAAACACTCGGTCCCTCTCACAGGCTTTGATTGTGAACCTCCCTGCTTGTGCTGAACTCCTTCCTCTGCCCCTCCTCCTCATCATTTCTTCCTTCATGTGAGTAGTGCACCAGAGTCTGGTGTCTGTTCCTGGATGGAGCATCTTTAAAGCGCAGACCGCAGTCCTCGCATGCATAAAGAAGCTCTTCTCTGTGACCGTCTGCAGCTCCATCCTGAGATTTCCTCTCATTTCCATGAAGCGAGGAGGAGCTGCGATCAGCAGAACTTGAAGTATTTAGAGCTGTGTGCGAGTCGGTTTCTGAGCTGTTCTGTGGGTTGAGCCTAACATTTACAGTTCTTGGACGCCCTGGAGAGAACCCTGATGGTCCTGGATGTGCACCCCCAGCTTCTCCCTCCCCGTCATGTTCTGGAGTCAGGCCATGGACTGTGCGATAGTGGAAGCGGATCCCAGAGCGGTTAGAGAAGCCCTTCTCGCAGATGCTGCAGATGAAGGGCCTCTCCCCTGTGTGGATGCGGGTGTGAACCTTCAGAGCTCCTGACTGGGTGAAGCACTTCCCACACTGTCCACAACTGTAGGGCTTCTCCCCAGTGTGGATCCTCTGGTGGGCTCGGACCCCAGCTAGGTGGGGGAACCCCCTGCCGCAGAAGCCGCACGAGTACGGCCTTTCGCCTGTGTGAATCCGCCTGTGGATCTTCAGAGCTCCTGACTGGCTGAAACTCTTCCCGCAGTCTGTGCAGGAGTAGGGCCGGGCGCCGGTGTGAACGTTGAGGTGTATGCGCAGGTTGCTTTGCGAGTTGAAGGCCCTGCCGCACTCGGTGCAGAGGAAGCCGGGCGGTTTGTGGGCGTGCTCGGAGCGCTGGTGCTGCAGCAGCTGCGACGGCCTGGAAAACGAGGCTGTGCAGTGCATGCATGGATGCAGCGACAACAAAGTCCTGCTCCTCTCTTCTTGTTGCTGCGTGCGTGTGTGCTGGTGCTGGCAGACCGGACGGCACGCAGGAAAGGAGCACTGGCAGGACAAGCAGGGGTAGGCTCCAGAAAGTTGTGCAGAGCGTGTTAGTTGAGGACAGGGCACACAGGACGTTAAGGGACAGTGGTGGTGATGAAAATGATGATGGGTGTGAGAAAAAGGTGGGTCCCTGCCTTGTTGGTGGCTCAGGAGCTGAGGGCAGGTTTGTATGCTCCGGTGGCAGCACAAACAGGGAAACATGGAGAAATGGGACAAAGATGATCTTACAGGAGGAGCGTCAGAGTTTTGGCTTCGGTTCTGAGCCCCCCTGTCTGCGTTGTCTCCCCGAGGCCGGACGGATGGGACGGACTCAGACGTGGAGCTGCTGCTGGGTACGGTGGTGTCAGGCGGACAAATGCTGAGGCTGAGATCTTCAGGCTGGCATGAAGCTTGTAAATATGGTGAAGAGGACACGGACTGTCGGGGAGTTAAAGTTTCAAAGGAAGGAGGAGAACTGGAGAATGGACAGCCAGGACAGGTGCACGCATGATGCACATTTAAACCTGAAAAATAAACAATGTTACACTTGCGCCAGCTAAAAAATAATAATTATAGGTCTAGCGTCGCTTAAAGGAGAGCCTGTCTCCCACAGACACCCCAGAATTGTTAAGATCATCTAATAGTGATAAATGACAAGAGTTGTAGTACTTTTGGTCAAATCTTGATAATGCTGTCAAGCACGAAGCATAACGTATGTGCAGTGAATAAATCTCAGCTGCTACCACAACAAATTTGAACTCAAATCTGTAAAAAAAAAAAAACTGAGTAAAAGACATTTTTGTGTTTTCTAATGTGTATTAGCTATGGATGACATCTTAGATGGGATTAACTTTAAAAGTGAATCCGTTGTAGAGGCACAGCCAGTGTTTCTGCAAATGAGGTTTGAGATATTTTGCTACAAGTGATGCTAAACTCAAGGAAAAACCCTGCACCACAAGTATAACTTAGAATAAGTGTTGTGAATGACTACCAGCTACTACCACACCAGGTTTTAGCTCTAAATCTTTATCAACAGAGTTGTAGCCACTTTGGTGATGTTTTTATGTCAGTTACCTGTAGCGGCCATCTTTAATGGAATTGACAACAGAGCTTTATCATTCGCAGAGGATTAAGTTTTCAGTTCAGTGGGGTTTCTTCCCAGACATTTCTTTAAATTGTGTGTAGTGCATGAGATATTTTGCTAACAATGAGTTGCAGTATGAACTTCAGTGCTACCTTCAGCTCCGTCTCTGGTCGGCCCTCTCCTCTGGGGTGTTTCAGGCTGAACTCGTCTGTCTGACACAGCCTCCCGGGGTGGCTGCAGGGGTTCAAGTGGAGCTACTCTGGTCCCCAGACCGGAAGCCGCTCCCCACGCTGGGTTTCGCACATCTGGCTGATATTTAGGTTGGCTTCCAGATGTGAGGAGCTCGCCGATGAACTGATGCATCTCCATCCAGGAGCTCTGAGCCTGCTGCAGGGGAGCACAAAGACTGCATCACACATTGACTCGTTGTTGGTAAATTGAAACATGGTTTCGAGCCGACACAAATCGTAGAGGGTTTTAAAAAGGGAAGAAAAGAAAATGGCGGCGTCGCTCTACTCACAATGTCGGCGCTTTTGTCTTTGTCCATGAATTTAAACAAACGCTGACGCGGGATTTAATGCTTCAGATTTTATTTCTTCAGCTCACACTTTATTTTATTTAGCTGCTCCCTTCTACAGGGGTCGCCACAGGGAGCGAACTTGCATGAAAGACCGAGCAATCATCTTACTCCGGTTTCTCTTCCTGACGCAACGTCCCAACCTGGACTCGAACCTACAACCTCAGGAGACCGCGACACTGACCACCGTTTACCATAGCCCCAATTTTACGAATTTGATGAAAGCAAGAGTTAGTTAGTTAGTTTGAACATCCGGTCACCGAGTATTCGATTTCCGGTGTTTAGCCACGTGACAAACTCCGCACACCGGTGACGTATATGCTGGTGTTGTGCCAAAAAGTGATTCCCTGCCAAAAACTTATCGGGTGAAATCGGGCGCGCTCCCGCGAAGGAACGCGCTGTGGGACTGCGTTCAGGCTGCTTTGTGTCTCGTCGAGTCTTTTCTAAGCTTTTCTCGGTCGTTTATATAGTTTCATGCTATTGAATGTCAAACAAGGATATGAAAAATGGACTCGTAATTAGGCCTGTGTTTTAGTGTTTACATTCTTGTCAAAAAGGATATCCATATATCCTGATGCATGCTCAATAATCCAAGTAGAAAAATCTAAAAAAAAGTTAAATCTGGTCCTCTGGACATTCAATAAAACAAAAAAAAAAAAAGTAGAAACGTTTCGTCTTTCATCCGAAAGACTTCCTCAGTCTGAGGTGCTGTATTCAGCTCAGTCTCTTAAATAGCACCTTCTCAGAGTGGATCAACCAGTTTGCTGCTGACAACCAAAACCAGCTGATCACATGGTCAAGAAGGACCACCAGCCTAACAATGGATCATTAGCACACTGATGGCTGTTTACTGTTCACAGAGGGCTGAGTGATACTAGCAATCACAGCATTGTAAGAGGGGGACAGTTGAACCCGGAGGCCTCCACCCCTGTTTAATGATGGACGATTTCTTTTCACAAAGATGGCCTCCTTTACTCCTCTCTCAAACCATCGTTCCTCTCTGTCCAGGATGTGAACATCTTCATCCCTGAAAGAGTGACCGCTGGCCTGGAGATGAGTGTAGACCGCAGAGTCCTGGCCTGATGATGTTGATCTTCTGTGCTGGGCCATCCTTTTGGCCAGTGGCTGTTTAGTTTCCCCGATGTAAGACTGATCACAGCCCTCCTGACACTGAACAGCATACACAACATTGCTCTGTTTGTGCCGGGGGACTGGATCTTTGGGATGAACCAGTCTTTGCCGTAATGTATTTTGGGGTTTAAAAGCCACTGGGACGTTATGTTTAGAAAATAAACGTCTCAGTTTCTCTGATACTCCCTCAACATACGGAATGACCACTGGTCTGGGTTCCTCCTTTTCACCTGTTGGCTGACTGGAGTCCTGTTTGGGTTTCTTCTCTGCTTTCAGGAAGGCCCAGTTAGGATATCCACATTGCTCTAGAGCCTGTCTTGTGTGGGATTTCTCCTTCTGCCTGGCTCCTGAGTTAGTGGGGATGCTGTCTGCTCTGTGGTACAGAGTCCTGATGACTCCTAACTTGTGCTCCAAAGGGTGATGGGAGTCAAACTGCAAATACTGGTCTGTGTGGGTGGGTTTGCGGTACACCTGTTTGCAAATGTCCTCTATCAGAGACTGAGAACTCACAGTCCAAGAAAGCCAACCTGCCATTTTTTACATCTTCTCGTGTGAACTTGATGTATTTATCCACAGAGTTGATGTGGTCAGTAAAATGTTGGACTTCCTGAGATTTAATTTTAACCCAGGTGTCGTCAACATACCTGAACCAATGACTTGGTGGTGTCCCTGAAAAGGACGTCAAAGCTCTCTTTTCTACCTCCTCCATGTACAGGTTGGCAACAATAGGAGAAACTGGAGACCCCATAGCACACCCATGTTTCTGCCTATAATATTGCTCCCCATATGTGAAGTAGGTTGACTGCAGGCACAGTTTCAAGAGTTGACACAGTTGTTCTGTGGAAAGTGTGGTCCTGCTGCTCAGAGTGGTGTCTGATTTTAATCTTAAACTGACCACCTCTACTGCATCATCAACAGGAATGCACGTAAAGAGTGATGTGACATCAAAAGAGACCATTGTTTCATCAGTCTCCATGATGACATCCCTCACCTTATCCACAAAGTCCATGGTGTTCTGTATGTGGTGTTCTGAGCTGCCAACTAAAGGGATGAGTACAGACGCCAGATATTTGGAAACATTGTAAGTGACATCTAAAAAAGTTAAATCTGGTCCTTTGGGATGAAGATGTTCACATCCTGGATAGGGAGGAACGTTGGTTTGACAGAGGAGGCCATCTTTGTGAAAAGAAATCGTCCATCATTAAACAGGGGTGGAGGCCTCCGGGTTCAATTGTCCCCCTCTTCCAATGCTGTGATTGCTAGTATCACTCAGCCGTCTGTGAATAGTAAACAGCCATCAGTGTGCTAATGATCCATTGTTAGGCTGATGGTCCTTCTTGACCATGTGATCAGCTGGTTTTGGTTGTCAGCAGCAAACTGGTTGATCCACTCTGAGAAGGTGCTATTTAAGAGACTGAGCTGAAAACAGCACCTCAGACTGAGGAAGTCTTTCGGATGAAAAACGAAACGGTTCTTTTTTTTGTTTGTTTTACTTTGTTTTGTTTTTTTGAATGTCCAAAGGACCAGATTTAACTTTTTTAGATATCCATGTTCCCCTTTAATTTTCTTTGGCTTAGTAGTTACCCTACAAAAAAATACTAGTTTATTATAATTCTTTACTGTCGTAATGTTATAAACTACATGAAAAACAGTGAGCTGTATCATTATTTTAAACTGTAAGAATTTAACAAAATAAATCTGAGATGGGCAAAATAGGCATTTTATTTGTAAAGCTCGAAGATTTTCGGGTTTAAACACGCATTACCATGGAAACGGCGTACCACCATCGACCTCTTTGAGTAGTTTATACCGAGCAACATCTCTACCTTTCAACATGTTTAACATGTCGGCTATGAACAGGAAACTAATAAAAGCCCTCGCTGAAACAATCTTATAGAAGGTGGAACACTGTGAGAACATTTTAACTTTTTATTTTACATTTAGCTCGTTCTTTTATTCCGTGTTCGGTCACACGCAGTTTTCGCTAACTGTTGTCACAAACCCACAACTAGCATAAATGCTACAATGTGGCCCCACAACCCTTCTGCCTGGAACTTACTGAACTCTGTAATGACTTCCTGCAGTTTTATAAATGAGGTTGTTACGCTTACAGTACAAGTGGGCATCTGTGGTACTGCACTGAGCTGGTTTAGGTCCCATCTGTCAGACAGAACCATGTCTGTCAACATAGCTGGTTCTGAATCCTCCACTGCTCCTGTGTTTTGGGGTTCCACAGGGCTCCATTTTAGGTCCTCTGCTTTTCTCCCTTTACTTGCTTCCATTGGGATCAATCCTTAGGAAGCATGGGATCTTTTTTCACTGTTACACTGATGATAGTCAGATCTATATGCCACTGAAAAAGAAAGATGTCCCCTCAATCAGGCCACTTCTGTTGTGTCTTGAAGACGTCAAAGCCTGGATGTCTTTAAACTTCTTAAAATTTCAATGAAAAGAAAACAGAAGTGATCTTGTTTGGTCCTAGTGGCTCTTGTGAACCTTGCCCTGTTGATCTGGGCCCTCTGGCACCACATGTAAAGAAAATCGTTTCTAACTTGGGTTTTAAAATGGACAGTGATTTTAAATTAGATTCCCAGATTGGAGCGGTGATCAAGACCAGTTTTGATCACCTCAGACAGCTGGCTAAGGTAAAGCCTAACCTTACAAAACACCAGCAGGAAACGGTAATCCATGCCAGCAGCTGGAAACAGTAATCCATGCCTTCGTCACCTCTCGGCTGGATTACTGCAACACTCTACCTTGGAGTCAGCCAGTCCTCCCTCAGACGCCTCCAGTTGGTCCAGAACGCTGCTGCTCAGCTTCTAACTGGAGTTCAAAAGAGGGAGCACATCACCCCCACTCTGTCTTCACTCAACTGGCTGCCTGTTCATTTTAGAGTTCATTTTAAGATTCTTTTATTTGTTTTTAAAAGTTTAAATGGTCTTGCTCCATCCTACCTCTCCGTGTCACGAATTGGGGTGAATCGGACAAGCACAGACTCAGAAAAAGGTTTAACAGTTTATTTCTTTTTGAAACGGCGGCGTCTGGCAGGAGGTTCTGGACCGCTCTGGGGGAGACAGACAGATTAGTGGCTGTAAGCAGAGCAGAGTAAACAAGAATAAAGCCACCAACCTGTCTCTGGAACCAGTCCGAGATGTGGACCGGGTGGGTCCCGGTACCGGTCCGAACCTCAGGAGCCGATAACATGTGCAAGGGTGCACAGAGCAGCAGCGCGCAGCGTGAGCACGAACAAGCAGTGAGGCTGGATGGGCGAGCTGTGATGCTGAGGGGTTTGGGCAGCAGAACTTTATCCAGGGACAGGCAAGGGTCAAAACCAGAGAAGAATCCAGTCCGGGGGGCAAAAGCGAGACGTGGGGGTCCTGGGGGCCTGGGAAGGCCACCTGAGGGTCCTGGGGGTCTGGGACTCTGTGGGACCACTATAGCTGGTCTGGGACTCTGTGG